GACACATAAGGTTGATATGTTTGAATCTTTTTAGTGCACTATATTCTGGACTCACTTCTACAGAAATATGATCCTTTCAAAATATCTTATAACACTCACAAAGATAAAGAGTCAATGAATGAGATTATGACCATATGTGTACAAGAGGAAAGGTTGGTTATGGAAAAAGGTGAGAGTGCAATTTTAGCTAGACATAAAAAGGATTGGAGTCATGCCAAGAAGAAAGAAAAGGGTAAAATACCACCCAAACTAACATCCTTAAGAAATCAAATTATTATTTTTTTATAAAAAGGACACATTAAGAAGGACTGTATCAAATTCAAAAATTGGCCTGGCAAGAATGATAAAATAATCTCATTTGTCTATTATGAATCTAATATGGCTAATATTATTTATAACACATGATGGATTGATTCAGAATCTACACTATATATTTATAATACTTTGTAGTGTACGTAAAATCTAAGGAAGCCAGTGGGAAATGTACAACGCATTTATTCTTGAAGTAAAATTAGTTCATATGTTGAATTTATTGGAACATACTATTTAGTACTTAGTAGAAGTTTTATTTTAGAGTTAAAAATACTTTTTATGTGCTTAATTTTTCTAGGAATTTGATTTTAGTTTTCAAACCAGTACCTTTTGGTTATACCTTTAACTTTCTCGAAAACTTCTAGTGATTTATATTTTAAATTAGAACTTGTTAGGAATTATATTTTGTCTGATGGTCTTTTCTATATTAATTTATAAAATAGCTACACTCATAATATAATGCATGCTTAAACTAGTATTAAAAGATATGTTATAAATAAAAATTCCTCTATGTTGTCTCACAGAAGATTAAGAAACATCTCCATAAATAGGATTAAAGGATCAGTGAATGAAGGAGTAATTAATACTTTAGATTTCTCTTATTTTGATACTTATATAGGTTGCATTAAGGGTAAGCAAACTAACATGTCAAAGAAAAGTGCCAAGAAAAGTACAATCATATTAGAGATCATGCATAAAGATATTTGTTGTTTAGACATGGATTTTTATAATCCAAAATATTTCATCACCTTTATTGACAATTATTTGTGAATTATGTATCTATATTTGCTTCAACATAAAAATAAAGCATTAACTGCCTTTAATATTTTAAAGGTAAAAGTAGAGAAATAATATGGAAAATAAATTAAAATTGTGAGATCAGATAGAGGTGGTGAACATTAAGGAAGATATAATGAGGATGGACAAATGCTTGGTACATTTGCAAAGTTCCTTCAACAAAATGGGATTGTTGCCCAATATATTTTACCTAGCTCGCCTGATCAAAATGGTGTAGCTGAGAAAAGGAATAGAACATTGATGGACATAGTTAAGAGCTTGATTGGTAGTTCTAAACTACCTTAATTCTTGTGGATTGAAGCTCTCAAGGTGGTGTGTACATATTAAATATAAGGTTGTTCCTAAAACTCTTTGAGTAATGGAAAGGCTAGAAATTGAGTTTAAGACATGTTCGTGTATGGGGCTGTCAATGTGAAGTGAGAATTTTTAATCCACAAGAGAAAAAGTTAGGCCTAAGGATTGTTAGTGGATATTTTATTGGATATGCTGAAAAGTCTAAGGGTTATAGATTTAATGTCCATCTCACTACAGGAAAATGTCCTATTACCGGCAAAAAAAATCCGTCGATAACAACAAAAATATACATTTGTACACTAAAAGTACTGGCGGATAATCCATCATCCTGATTTTTCGTGCAACTATCGACGGATAGTACTGGTGGATTTACCAAGGTAAATTCTCTTGCAAATGTCTAGTGAGAACATCCATAACTAAAGAAAAAAAGCCAGCCTACACCTAGGTACATTCTCTTGCAAATGTCTAGTTAGAATATCCATAACTAAAGCAAAAAAAGCATACACCAAGGTAAATTCTCTTGCAAATGTCTAATGAGAACATCCATAACTAAAGCAAAAAAGCTGGCCTACACCAAGGTACATTCTCTTGCAAATGTGTAGTTAAAACATCCATAACCAAAGCAAAAAAGCATACACCAAGGTAAATTCTATTGCAAATATCTAGTGAGAACATCCATAACTAAAGCAAAAAGCAAACACCAAGGTACATTCTCTTGAAAATGTCTAGTGAAAACATCCATAGCTCAAGCAAAAAGCATACACCAAGGTACATTCTCTTATCGGAGGAAGGTCACACACGGAACAGGGCAACGGTAACACACAAAATATAGGTGGAGACTATAAGAAACTGACGGCGGCTCCTGTGGGCAAGCTCGGCGGCTAATGTTGGGAGGAACCAGTCGTGGAGGCATTCGGGGAAGCTTGTAGATGCAAGTGGAGCAAACCAAGAAGAGTGAAAGAAATGAGAAGAAAAACAAAGGAGCGGTTGAAATATGGCCCTTTCCATCGAACTTTCTGGTGGATTATCCGTCGGTCATAATACCGGCGGATAAAACGTCAAAAAATATTCGTCGAGTTTAAATAAGCCGGTGTAATTTATGCTGGTGATTTCACCGGTAATAACCAATGGAATTTGCGTCAGAATATATTATATACCGACAAAACCACTAGCGGTATATACGTCAGTAATTTAATGGTGGCGATTTCGCTGAAACTTCCACCATAAAATTACTGGCATATTTTCTGCTAGTTAGGCCGCCGCTTTTTTCGGGGTATATGTTGCCACCGGAAAGTCCGACGGTAACAATAGATTTTCTTGTAGTGTCTAATATCAGTAGAATTATGGAATCAATAAATGAAATATTTCTTAAGAATGATTTGATTATTTGGTGTGACCAATTACAAAGCTTAGTTCTTGAAAGGAACATATATATGCATAAACTTTCATTTCAAGTAACAGGTTAATTATTACACATAACACTCCTAAAGTTCAAATGGATATTATTCAACCACTAATAGAGATTCCATAAGCTGCTAAATGAACCATTAGATATAGTTGAACAACCAACTCCACCAGAGGAGGTTGTCATAACATTAAGAAGATCTATTAGGAAAAGAAAATCAGCAATTCCTAGTGATTATAATATATAGCTTCAAAAGCCAGACTAATATATTGAAGCTGAAAATGATCTTAAAATATTTTCACAAGCCATGAGTTATAAAGAATCTTATTTATGGTATGATGCCATGAAAGATGAGATGAATTCAATGCCACATCACAAAGTCTGGGTGGGATCTTATTAAGTTGTCTAATAGTGCAAAAGCCATAGGATGTAAATGGATCTTTAAGACAAAAAGAGACTAATTAGGCAACATAGAAAGATATAAAGTAAGACTTGTTGCTAAAGGATACACTAAACAAGAGGGGATTGATTATAAAGAGACTTTTCTTTTGCATCTAAAAAGAATTCCGTTTGAATTATCATGGCACTTGTTGGGCATTTTGATTTAGAGCTATAATAAATGGATGTAAAATTTGCATTTCTAAATGGAACATTGAAGGAGGAGGTTTACATGAAGCAGCCAGTGAATGTGAGCATTTAGTGTGCAAGCTTAAGAAGTGTATATATGGATTGAATTATGATGGTGGATCCTTTAACTAAAGGTATGCCACCACATAAAATTAAGGATCATGTGGATTTTTTGGGTCTTGGTTACTTTAGTTAATTTCATTGTAAAATAAATAAAGTTATGTTATTGTTCATGTTTTAATTATTTATGTGTGCACATTTATGTAATGATAAACATCATTAAGTTGGTCCTAGAATAAACATAATATTTATTCATTAAGTTAAATAAGCAAATATATAAGGCACATAATGATTGTGATGCATGGGAGATAATACTCGCACTTAGAGGACCTATCACCATGATTCATGATTTTTTTTTCTTATTTTATTTGTGATGGAATATTTGGACCAAGTGGGAGATTGTTAAAATAACTATCATTAATGATCCAAATTATTCCTAAGTAATTGACCATTTTTCAATTTTAATTTAGCATTTAAAATGACCATTACTCAGATTTAATTTAGAAATTAAAACAGGCAATTTCTTAGTTTTAAATTCCACCCTTAAAACTAGAATTTATGGATAGCACTTAATTTAGAATTTGCATATGTTTTGGGTCCATAAGCCTTTCTGTCTAATCCACTTCTAACAAGAAGAAACATACACAATCATTTAGGAGAGAAAATGTTTAGAAGAATTAAAAATTAGTGAACAACACGATCAAATCTCAATGGTCCAATGTATGTAAATTTGTTTATGAATTAGCTTCCACATCTTTGTTTAATCGATTGTATATTTTATGAATTTATCTTGAACCAAAATGTTGTTGAATTTGAGAAACTTTTATAGAATCGCCATTAAATTTTCTAACATCTACTGCAACAAAAAACAAAGCAAATGTCATAAAGCCATACAAAAGTATCAAAGTCATGAAGCCCCTTAGTAGGTGGAGATAAAGATAATGCCATAGAAGGTCATAAAGCCAATGCCCATATAAACATAAATTGTACAACCAACATAGAATCATCCATCTAATAAAGTCACTAGCAGAAAAATTAGGAATTCATCCAATTAAACAAAATTGTTCAGCTCATCATTCCATATATTACAAATAATACACTTACAGACATCAAATAAAGCTTTGTAATCATGATGTTAGCATGACAATTTTCACAAAGCTGAAAATTTGGAGAGATAGTGCTTCAAAAAGGAAGAAAGATTCCTTTGCAAGTAGTCTTGAAACCATTACAAGAATCTTAAGGATGTTGTGGTGAACACTCACTACAAGAAAACCCACTATTACCGGCGGATTATATTCGTCGGTAACATCCAAAATCCGACGAAAGTCCTGGGTTTCTGGCGTATTAACGGTGGATTTTCGTGCGCCGATTTGGGTCGCATCGGAAAAAACTTTCCAGCATTTTATGCGACGCCGGAACATGGCGCATTACCGGCGCAAAAAATGCTGGCTAGCCGACGATTTTCCAATCGGTCATTCCGACGACCACGCCGCCGGAAGTTTATGTTGTATTGATCCACCAGAAATTTTCGGCAGATAAAACGTCGTAGATGTGCGCCACAAATAAGCTAAGGCTAGTTTACGGCGCATATTGTATGCCGGAAACCACCGGCGGATAGGACGCCGTAAATGGCGCCGGTTATTGCAAGCGTCCAAATAAACTATGGCATGATCGTAATGATTCGTTGAATCGTCATTTCTGTCGAATTACCATCGCAAAGTCCATCGGAAACCTGTAGCATTAACAAAAAAAATTTCCTTCCCAACCAACAATCGCATTTCCACACCTACAAACATATACAAAACCACTTTTAGAAGACAGCCATATACATAACAGATATAAACAGCGTCAATATATACTCAAAAACATAAATATCCATGTAAAGACATTGTTCAATAGCATCAAATAACTCAAAATATCACTTATTGTTCAATAACACATGTTCACATAAATAAACAAGTTCATATAAACAAAACTAAACTACTCTGACTCCGTGGACTCCTCAGCTGGAGCTACCTCTTTTCCACTCAGCTGCTCCCTCATCTTGCGCATTTCATCCAACAACTGATTTTATTGCTCCTGCATCTACATTTGAACCTGTGCTTGCAGCTGAGCTTGCCAATCAGCTTATGATTTCCTTACTTGTTCTAGCTCAGCTTGAAGGACACTTATTTGTTGAGCATGTAAGGACTCATGTGAACTGGATACGAAGCTGGATGCAGTAGAGGAGGTCATCCCCTAGTATGCCTGAGCATGGGAACCTAAACCATAACCATGTTGCATTCCTCCGACGGCCTGCGACCAGATGCGATACTCAAAAAACTCCACAGAGCAACCAGAGGAGCCCTCACCTGATGCAGCATGAATCTCTCGAAGTCGTGTGTTCCTCCTGTGAAAGTAGAATATAAATATACACAACTAAACTAAAAATAGAAAATATTAAGCACATATACTTACATGGGCTTTTCTTGCTCTCTCATCAATCCATTGTTGATCCTCCTATCGCTTATGAGTACGACTATGCAATTCCACAAAAGTTGGTTCTCTATCCAGCATATCTTTCTGTTAGAATTAAGAGAATTATATTAATATTTATATTAAAGAACAATTTAAAAAACGTTTAAATTCATTACCAAACGACGTCTGTGCTCAGTATGTGGTACGGAGCCGCCAGTATGAAGTAAACTATCCAAGCCCCCAACATCAGAAGCTCTGTTCTGTCAATTTTGATCCCTCCTAGTATACTCTTCGCTGCCCCAAGTAGTGTTCAACTCAGCCTATATAACCTCTCCAATCCACAATGGTCGCTTCCCAGACTTTCTAATATCTGTGAACATGTCGTGCATCCGAGTAGACCCACGCTTCTCAAAAGTCTTTCTAATCCTGTCATTGTGATGGGGCAGCCAACAAAATTCTTTCTGCATTCAAATACATATAATATATAATATATAAGATTTTTAGCTTAAGTAAAATAGAATAAATCATTTAACATAAAAACTAAAACCCATAAATACCTCAAACTCTCTAAACCACACATCCCGAACTTCTTTCGGGACTTTCTTCCAAGAAACGTAAGGAGCGTCAAACCTGCTTCGTATGATGTCCCGTATTTTATGTGTCGGTTGTTTTGATGGGTAGAACCTACAAAAAATAAAGTTTTGTCAAACAAATATATAATATAAAATAAAAAAATTTGTAAGCTTAAATAAAAGAGAATGAACTTACGTGTCTTCCTCAGGTGCTATCAACATTCTACCATCTATCGTCTGCTCTGGTGCAGCCGGTGTCGAAGGTCCAACTGTAGAAGGCTGATGGGGTGGTGGGGGATAGTATGGTGGAGCATATGGTGGAAATGGGTAAGTAGGAGGGGCACCAGCATAAGGTGGGGGTGCATAGTATGGAAAGGAGTACTCTGCGCGGGATCTAGTGAAGGAAATCCGGGGTCTGCTGAGTAGAACTGCGGGCTACTAGCTCCAGGAGTGGGTAAAGGCTGAGTGGTAGGCAGAGTCTGTGTAGCAGGCTGAGACTGTGTAGCAAGCTGAGACTGTGTAGCAAGCTGAGTCTGTGTAGTTGGTAGAAACTGTGTAGCAGACTGAGACGAGGTGGTCCCCTCAGTACGTACTGACCTAGCTGGTCCAGCTGTAGTGATCTTCTTGGTTCGCTTATTAAAAATGTTTTTGATCAATCCTCTACCAGGGTCCTCACCTGAAGCCATCTGCACAGAAATAAATAAGAAATATTAGAATAAAATCAAGAGTTATAACAAAATGCAGTGAAGTAAGTAAAAAAGCAGTGAAGTAAAAAAAGCAATGAAGTAAAGAAAAATGTAGTGAAGTAAAGAAGCAGTGAAGTAAAATGCAGTAAAAAAAATATTTAATTTAACTCATCTTTTGTTGATTCACTTTCATATGATGATACATTTCCAGCACTATCAGATTCATCATTACTTTCCTCTATGGTTAAATCTACCTCCTCTAAGTACTACAACTCGCTCTTATTAATTATCTTAACTCATCATTTTATTATTTTTATGTCTCATTTTATTTTTCTCTTTAATTTTAAAAAATAATAATCCTTGCTATATCAAAAATTTTTAACAACACTATTTGTCATAATAAAAAAGGATGAGATTGTTGTAAATCTTGATCATAGTACTATGATTTTGATGATAACAAATATTATTATTTTCTTTACCACTACTATTATTGCATATCTATTCTATTTTCCTTGCTTACTAACCTTTCATATCCAAAAGATCACTTGTAATATAAATCAGCTCAATATTCGGTAAACTAGGTTGAGTATATCTGTAACTTAAATTTCAATGTACCTTTTATCTTTCTTGAGTCAAGTCATATATCCAATGGACCCCAAGCTAAGTAATCTTGCACACACATACTCATGGGGAGATATTTGGTAAGTTAGAGAATTCTCTATTTTTTATCTAATCATACAGAACGATCTCAAATCGTATTGGACGATCAGTTAAAAATAGAAACTCTAATTAGGGCATCCCAATATTAAGAGTGATTAAACTAATTATACTGGATGATCCCTATCGTCCAGGATGATCAGTTCATATTGTGAAAATAGTCGCCAACCATAATTTAGGAAATATTTTAATTTTCATATTTTGCACTAATCTTATAAAATAATGTTGATGAGCCTGGATGATTCAGGCAATCATTCCTAAATTAATCCTTTAATTAGGAGAAAATTATGGTAAAACATAATTTGATACAATCGTATAGGATAATCATTGATGATCGTCTTGAATGATAGAGAACATGTTTGGTACGATAAGGGATCGCCAGCTATTATACTAGATGAATACCATACTTTTGCAACTAATCATCCAAGACAATATACTCGTATCATACTAAATGACAGAGAGGTGCATGGGACGATAAGGCACTGTCATGCATTGTACCATACAAAGTTTAATACTTTAATATTAATTATCTAGGATGATATTTGTATCGTACAGGATGATCAGCCTACTTCTCTTGAACTAATTATACATAGCAATATTATCCTGGTTGAAAGGGTTGTTTTGTACTAATCGTACAGACGATCAGTTGCACAGAATTGAAAATTAAGGCTTCTTTTGGAGGCTCTATATTTAAACTCTCTAATTATCTTTTGAGACAATCTTTTACTATGTGGTTGATCCAAGAGGGAGCTTAGAGAAGGAAGGGAAGAGCTTGAGAGGGAGAGATCCTTGTGAGGGGGAGTTTGTGAGGGAATCACAAAGGTTTCTTCAAGCAAGTTGTTCGTCATCTTCTTTGAGTTAATCCACGGGTTTCTTAGTGGCTCCGGGGAGAACGTCTTCAACAGTAGACCATGGTTCTCTACCTATTCTAGGAGAGAGTAAAAGGATCCCCAAGTTCTCTACCTTCACTAAGTGGGTGAAAAAGGACTCAAGGTTCTCTACCTCATTGTGTCGGTGGAAAGACTTTGTAAGGGCATCTCCACCATATTGTGGGAGTAAAATGAGAGTCACTTCAGTTTTAGTAAAATACTTGGAGAGAGAGTCTCCAAGGAGTGGACTAGGTTAGACTTGACTGAATAACTATAAAATTCGGTGTATTCTTTCTTATTACTTTTATCACATTTTATTTCTGTACTCTTTTGTGATTTGTTCTGTGTTTGAAAAATCAGATTGTATTGTTATCGTGAAAATTATTTTCTTCCGCATCAAGAGTTATCATTTTTTTTAACATATTTAAAAAGATTAAAAAGATTTTCTTTTTGTTTAATATTTTTAAAACTACAAATTCACCCCCTCCCCTCTTATTTAGCCTAAGCTATGTTGCACCGATACATATATGGTGACACAGATACGATATGATACAGATACAGGACATGTCAATTCTTAAAAATACAGGATACGGGTATGGCACGGACACGCGTTATAATTTATAAATCATACATAAAAATTAAGAAAACAATCAAAGCATAATATTTAAAATTTCAAAAAAAAAAAGTAACTTAATGTCATTAGTAGCCTTGTAGCTTATAATATCAAAATAAAAGTAAGCATTAAATGTCTAGTATAACAATAAAATCATAAACATAAATTGTCTAGCACATAAAGTTTCAACAATTCAATAGAAGGAATGATATGATTAGCATCTTCAGTGGTTTGTCTTTGAACTTCTATATCATCTTCAATAAATATCATAGCTTCTAATTCAGGATCATCAAGTGAAAGATTAACAATTTCTAATATTCCCATATCATCAAGAGACTCAAATCCATCTCAAAAATAAGAGAACCTCACACACAGTCGCTAAAGTAAATATGATGAGTTTTTTTTTTTTTCAATGGATACGCGTGTACTTTTGAAATTAAATAGTATTTTCATTGGATACAACAATGTCATATTCGACATGTATCGGTTCCATATAGAAGGTGTATCAGTGTATCGGTGTATCGAATACAACACACCTTCATAAATAGGTGTATCGGTGCAACATAGGCCTCAGGCTAGTTCTTTAGGGTTTAACACCCCTCATAAACTTTCAATAATATAATTATTCTGGTAAAAATTTTTGCGGTGTCCTGTCACATTAGCTGCGTTGTAATGTCCAATTAAATCAATTGTATTGTAGTGTCCTATCATGAACATACTAACTAAGTTGTAAGAGGTTGTAGTAATTATGGCCTAAATAGGCAATCCACGGGCTCTTTTAAGAACACCATTGAATGATTTTGAAGCATTTATAATCATCACTCCATACCTATGCCCACTGCCATGATTTTGTGTCCAACATGTCACATGTCACATCACGATCCATCTTCCAATGATACACTTCTTGTTTAATATTTTGTAAAACAATCATTATTCTTTTGAAAACACCTAGGTCATCAGTACTGCCAATTAGATATATCTTTTGGCATAAGAAATCAACATCTGAACAGCCCATTTTGTACATTGCTTTCTTAACATTCTCTCAGAGATGCTGGAGGCAATGTCGTTGAGCCACATTTAGGAAAACTTCTCGATACCCACTAACTAAACCAGCATGTTTATAAAAAATAATGCAAAGATCTTCTCTTTTCCAGACGATTGGTAATGTTTTAGGAAGACAAATAAGGAGCCATAACCAAGACTAGGGGTGCAATTGAGTCAAGCTGACTCGCAAGCTAGCTTGAGCTTAACTCATTAACGAGCTCCCAAGTCAAACTTATCGAGTATCAAGCTTGAGTTTGATACATGCCTGATCCATCTCGAGAGCTCGTCGAGCAAACCCTATTAAAAAGTAGAGTCACGAACTGATTTGCAAAATTTAAGTTTTGATGCGGAGTGAAGCAGGAATGCTGGATCGGGCAAAATATTACCTACTCTAGTAGTAATTAATAACATATTCAAAATTTTGAAGAATTGAAGAGTCGGACTGCAAACTTTTCATGAAGTGCTGAGGTCCGTGGAGTGCGGCATCTGTTTGAGCTAAGGCATGCCTTTGTCATCTACCGTTCTTCGGGTGCTTCGAGCAAGTGGTGTGAGTCGGCAACTTGGTGGGTAGAGAGAAAGTTCTATGATCTGGTTACGAGTTCTATTCTTCATTTTTTATGTTTTCTCTTCTTTATTTTATTATTATTTTTTTTGGCTGAAGTACTTTCGATGCTCGAACATGAAAGGACTTAGCGAGTTGGCATTTAGAGGGGTTTTTCCTATGCTCAAGGAAAAACATCAGTTATTTTTGTTGGAGCCTCTTGATATGTATATTTACTGAAACTTTTCCTTAACATTTCATTCATCCTTCCATTTTTACGGCGTATTTGTATCGATAAACAATTATTTTTGTAAACTAAAACCTAAGGTTGGAACAGTTAGTGTTCTTCTGATATTGTTATGAACAGATAATTTTTTCTCTCTTTTTTTTTTTTTTTTTGGCTTTTTGTTCAAAACTCGGATAAATGAATAGCTTACTAGTTATAAATTGTGTTTTTATTTTCCCCGTATTTTCTTTATCTTTACAGAAGGCACTTCAACTACTTTAAATGCTATTTTTGTTGCAAGCTCTTGTTATCAATTGCAAGTTGACGAAGATAAATAATGTATGAAGATTTTTTTTTTTTTTTAACTTCGTAATCTTCTAATTTCATGTATGTACTTTGAATTTTGTGCGAACTATTTGTAGTTGTATTTCTATGATTTTTTGTTGTAGTTTATATAATAATGATGATCTTTCATATGAACAATGATTTTGTAACTATTGATAAAGGTTGTTGGCTTATAAATGATTGTAGTTTATATAACAATGGTCATATCTGATTTAGTTATATGTATATTTGCTTATCATGAACTATTTTGTTATTATGATTTTTTATTAGCTTATCAATGATGTGCTTTTTAAAACAGCTTGGTCATTTTGAATGACCTTATGTTATATATTATCTATGTTGTCATGATTTTTAAATAACTTGTCAATAATGTATTTTTATAGTGAAACGTTCATAAAAAAACATCATTTTAATGGTAAAAATTTTATTAAAAACATTCAATTCGAACTTGTATGCGAGTCGAGCTCGAGCTAACGATCCAAATTTGAGCATGTGATTCAGACATACTAGTCGAGTTCAAACTCGAGTTAAGCTCGAGCCCAGTTCAAGCGAGCTAAAAAATAAATGAGCTAGGATTAAACTATCTCTAGCTCGAGCTTAAGCTTAACGCGTTTGCACCCCTAACCAAGACTCATTACATTCATAC